CCTTATATAGTCATTATATAACCCCTATATCCCTAGGTAAGGGTCCCTATTAGGGGTCCCTCAAAGAGTCCTTAGAATTAACGGAGCGGTTTGTGCGTCAAAGGGTTGTAGTCCTAGTAGATTTCACAGGGTACAGGGAATGTTGATTGTCCACTTGGCAATTTCGCAACAGGGCTCAGTTTAGTAAGCCTGGAACACTAGGTTCAGGCTGTAAGAAAGGAGCCACAAGGTCAATGCATCACGCATTTACGCAGCACAAAGCTGCACAACGGCCAAGCGTCGTTCTACATGAGCAAAACTCATCCAAATCTGTACCAGACTCACCCCATCAAAGAGCCTAAACCCTAAAACTTAAACCCTAAACCCTAGACCCTAGACCCTAAACCCTTGGCCAGGGTCTATCAAGCCTCAAACCGCAACTCAGGTTTGTGGAGGTCAAGATGGCGCTTCTGACAGGTCCTACTGGCCAAAACCCAAAGCTTTTAAGGGCCTGGCGGGGGCTTAGGGTTAAGGGTTTTAGGGTTTAGGGTCTAGGGCTTAGGGTAAGGTTGTGCAGTTGTTTCAATCCTAAACCTAATGTAGACCCCTGATGAATAAACCCCCTCCCCTTAATAGGGGTTATAATGGGGATCTTAGTACTAAGGCCCTAAAAAGGAGGGGGGTTGATGAATCAGGGGTCTACGTTAGCACGCCCTTTTTGAGACCCTTGCCAGCTGTAGGATGCAGAATTTCGGGAATCCGAACCAGCCCAGACAGAGTCATGTGAACCATAATCTAAACTCCTTAAAAGGGGGTTATATATGGGACAATATAGGGGAGTACTATAGAGGACATAAGGGGGATACTAGGAGTTTAGACTATGGCTCATGGGACTGTCATGGATAATTCCCAAAATTGGGGAACCCCAATATAGACCCCAACATGTTATAATCCTCATAACAGGGATCCCCCCCAACAGGTACCCCTAATTTTAGGAAACCTGAAAATGCCAAGCCCTACACCCTGATTCATGGGGTGCTTCTTGTTGGGGGTTGGGGTAACCGACATCACCTTATCAAACCCTAAACCCTAAACCCTAAACCCTAAACCAAAGCACACAGGTCGGATGGGCTTTGCAAGCTTTTATCGAGATGAAGAAGACTTCTGCCTGGGCGACTGAATGAGCTTTCAGGAAGCGCTCTTTTTACCTTTCCCCGAACTATGATGGAACACGATAAAGGGTTACCTAAACCCCAGAAGTGTGTAAAAGAATAGCCCTAAACCCTTACTAATGGCCATAAGGGCCATCATTTTACATACTTTTGGAGTTTAGGTAGGGTTCAGCTTACCATTGAGCTTGCGCAAGACCTAGGCAATGGTGAGTCGAGGCTTCCCCCACCAGCTGGGTCCTGCTATCGGCAAATCTACACGACACCCATGCAGGTGTCCAGCACAGGGTTTTGGAACCTAAATCCTAAACCCCAAAATTTGAGTACTGCCCTCACCCAGTAACAGTATACTGGGGGTCCTATTAAGGGCTATAATCCAAATGTACTGAGGGAGGGCAGTACCCAGCCCAAAATGTTTTGCAACTGTCGAAGTACAGGACAGGACCTCTGATTCTGTGTCCCCTTGTGAGTAGTACTTTATTTGGGGATACTATGGTACCCATTATAGACTAAGATTATATTCTCCTTTTGGGTATAGTTTTTATATAAGGAATATTATCTTACTGGGTTAAACCAAAAAAACATTACTCATGTAGGATTGAGAGTCAAGGCCTATCTGACATAGATACATATGCCTCACCTGTGTAATCTATATGAGGAGTGCGATGTGGATTGCATTTCAGTGTACACAATATACTTTATGTGAATCATATCTTGCTGCGTTGTGAGGGGCTTTTATGATGCATATGAGTTGCATGGAGGTTCTCATCTACATCATGACATCTGGTCTGATGCGGACAGCTTTTAGCGCTTTTACATTTGCATGCGCGACCGGTACCTGGCTCTTGATGTGGCTTCTTTTCCGCTTGGGTCTTTCTCAAAATGTTCCAGGAAGATCATTAGCAGGAAGCCCCCAATAATCTCTTCTATGCCCTATTGCTCCTTACAGTAGGGTTTCCAAAGGGCCCCTTTGGGGAAGCCAAATTTCCGGTTCTGATCTGACAAGAGATTCAGGTGCGATCACCCAGTGCGATGTGCGTAGAAGCTTAAACCACAGACCCAAAGCATCTTGAACAGTCCTGACTAGCAATGGTAGAATCCACCTCGAAAGCTGGGTTGTAAATCTAGTTCGCTTGCAGGGTTTTAGGGTTTAGGTCCATAGCTCCTTTGGTGTGTTATAATCTGACAAACGAGGTATCGTACAACTCAACGCCATTGTAGCAGATATGTCTCACAGGAGTGATGAAGGTACATTCAGCTGGATTGCAAGGATTTCCTCATGTGAGACATGAAAAGACTTGCTCACCAACTTGATGTAGGGCTGCCAAAATCATGATCCATTTTGGCATCTTGTTGTTGTGTCCTCTGAGCTACATGATGCGCCAAAGAGGGCCACCTAGTTTGGCAGTTGTTCATGTGGGGGGTTTGCATATCAATTCCCTCCCCCTCATAATTACCCCCAGCACCCGCCCCAATGATAGATATTCCCACGAGTTTAGAATAGTACAATATGGGGAAGTTTAGGTGAAACGATTAGCACATGTGTGTCGGTCTCTGCTAGTAAAATGGGTCTTCTTCCTCGTCTGCACAGTGTGGGTTTGGGGTTTAGGGCTTAGGGTTTTGGGCTAGGGGTTTCGCAGCTACTTTAGAACTGAGTAACTACTTGAATAATCCCCCTATAGCTTAACACTTATATTGCCATACTATTCCACCCCGTAAAACCTTACGTTGATTAGCTAGGCCCGCACGTTACAATCCCCTATAGCCCTTGTAAAATCCCAGTTTCCAATCGCTTTCACTTGATTATTCATCGTACTAGTCATGAGGTAGGCCCCTACACCCTCAACCCCGGAATACTATCTTTTTCCTTACTACAGATGTTACAGCAGTTTTGCCAAGTTTTCCCTAACTCTGTTGCATGAAAAGCCTATGGACCGAACCTTTATACAAGTCCAGTTTGCACGTCATGTTCCATCTTGCACTGTGCATTTGATTCTGCATTAGTGTAACCCTTAGGGCTCCTAAACCCGAAGCCTAAAACCTAGCCCAACCCTAAACCCTAAATCCTAAACAAACCTATCAACCAAGGTATGGTCGGGGCGCTACTAGCAGAGGTCAGAACGACCATCGACAAGAACAAGCAGGTCAACGCAGGGTTTACGATTTCAGGTCTTGCAGGTTTAGGGGGTTTAGGGGTTTTAGGGTTCAGGTTTAAGGGTTCAGGGTTTAGGGTGGTTAATGGGTTTAGAAGGTCTAGAGGATTTAGGGTTTGGGGTTTAGGGGTGTTACGGGTTGCTCAGGGTCCATTTAAGAGAGCTCCGCAGGAGTGATTGGGTAGGGAAACTCTTGTTGGACAGGTATGTGGGCTTGTATAGGGAACGCGACTTACTCTTAAAGATTCCCACATATGGTGAAAGGAAGGGCTTTGTATGGACTACGAGTTGTAGAAATCCTGTGGAAGAAGGTTGGTTGGCACCTGCCGAGAAATGCATCTTGCAAACCCTTACTCACGAAGTATTCAGGTGATAGTTTCCATACATAATGGGACCCCAAAAAAGGTTTAGAGTTTTAGGGTTTAGGGTTTAGAGCCCCCAAAAGGGACCCGTAGACCCTAAACCCTTGAGAAATCTCCAGGTGGATCCCTCTCTGGAGTCCGAAGATTGGTACACGCTCTTCCTGATGAATATGCAGACGGTGGCAGGGATCATGGATGATTCTGGGTTGCTGTTAAGGAACTTAATTTAGATTACCATAGGGTATACTATAGGGTGTAGGGTTTGGGGCTTTGGGTTAAGGAACTTAGTTTAAGTTAATCTATCGGGGAGACCCCATTAAAACTATATATATATATATACATACAAATTAAGGTAACTGAATTTAAGTTCCTTGACAGCAACCCAGGATTTCAAGTTCTTGCCAACTTTCTTCATTACCTACATGATAGGGCAGGATGTTACCCGGTGGCTTAAGTGGCTACAAACCATGCGCCTCAGCTTGTGTTTAGGGTTTAAGGTTCAGGGTTAAGGATTTAGGGTTCCGGGTTTAGGGTTTTGTAGGGAGCGAAGGCCCAGAATTGCTGAACCTTCTGTCGTGAAGATTCTGTTGCCATTGGCAAAATAGCCTTGAGCTCAATCAACTGCAGTCGTGGTTTGCAAAACTTGCTGTAATGGTGTGTTGCAGAGAATAGAGTCAGGAATCCCTATCGTCTACACCCCATATAACTGCCAATAAAATAGTAGTTTCCGTGTTCGCTTCCGATGCTTTCTTCCCTCCTAACAACCTACCTACTCCAGACCCTAGATCTCCCCATATACTTGAAACACCAGTATCTACGTTGTTTTGCATTTTCTTTCGCATTCGATTTTCCAGTCCCTAAGCTCTGACCCCGAAATGGCAGATTGCGTTTGCCTTCCCTCCAAGAACCCCACACCCTAAGTCCCCAGCTCATCGCATTCCAAGGCCCCTCCACCTCTGGTTCTAGTCAAGCCACAGTTTCTCAGTTGGGGAGGTTACGATACATTCTGGGTCCTCCTATGTTGACAGCAACCCAACAAGTCCCTGTGAGGTTCTGCATTCAGGGACGATTGCACGACGTTGGCTTGATCATTGCCAGTTCATACCGCAAGTTGAATGATCCCCTTGTGGGAAAGCAGCAACGGCAAATGCTGTTCAAATGGTACAGGTATCTCAATGCGATACACTATCTTGCATATTTTAAACTTGATCCTCGCATAGGAACATCTCCAGACCAGGTTGTACAGGACCTTCGGACAATGGGGCTGCTCGTAGACAGCGAGTGCAATCAGATACTCTTGGCCAGTGCAAAGCTGCGGGACACCTTGGTATCCTGGCTAGGCGTTCTCTGGCATGACGAGCTCGAGCGGGGTTGGGTTCAGGCAGTCGACAATGACGTGTTCATGCGGAAGGTCTGCGACTTGCGCGCAATCTTGGCCACCCTTGCTGACATGCCAGACATGCAAACGCCAGCTCCTCAGTCGACAGTTGATAGCTGATACTGACAGTCTAGTACTAGCAGTAGTCGTGGTGGTGGTGGTGCTGCTGCTGGCGCGGTGGTGGTGCTGGTGCGGGCGAGCAGGTGTGCGGGCGTGCAGGGGTGGCTGCTGGGTCCAGTGCTGGTACCGGTCGCATCGGCGGCGGTGGCGGTGGCAGTGGCAGTCGGTGGCAGCAGCAGGGGGAGGAGGAGGAGGAGGAG